AGAATACTTGATATTGCATAATGAACTGAAGGCAGATCTGATACTAGGAGTGCCGTGGATAACACAGTTCCGCAGTACAACTTTCAAATAGATTTCAAAATCATCATACCAAGTAGAGAGGACTGGAAAAATGGCACACCGGTAAAAGCTGAAGAAACTTGGTATATAGATGGCTCAAAAATCCAAGAAGGAGTGGGAGCCGGCATAATCGGAGGCAGAGCAAAGACAATAATCGCACTCAGCCTCGGACACGCAACAGTGCAACAGTGTTCCATGCAGAAGTAGCGGCCATTCAACACTTTATAGCGGAAATAAACAAATAAAACCATTGTCATTTTCTTCGACAGCCAGGCGGCAGTTGAGCCGCTCAACTCATTTCAAGTCTTCTCAAGACTGGTGGGAAGCTGTCTGAGCGCACTCAATGAGCTAAGTACCCAAAATAGGGTCACAAGGGCAATGAAGAGGCAGAATTCTAGCCCGTGAAGGCACATCCAAGGCTATGCTCAGCCCAGATTTCTTCTGCGGGGTAGCGAAAGCATGTATAAAGACATCCATGAGTTAATGATGCAAACCAAATCGATAGATTGGTGGAATGAGCTCCCTGGAATGAGGCAGGCGGAAGAGTTCATAAAGAAACCACCTCCCAGATTCACGGAAGACCTGCTGAACCACAACCGTAAGGTTGTAAAAGGGTAGTGTTGGGTCTACTAACGGGACAGAGCCGGCTAAGAAAACATATGAGCAACGTGGGTCTGACGGGCGGAACCCAATGCAGGTTATGTCAAGAAGAGGAAGAAACCGCACTGCATGTGCCTTGTGAATGCGAAGCGATAGCAAGATGCGGGAAAGAAAAACCAGAGGCTGAGAGTTATATGAAGGGATCAGTGTCAAGGCTATGGAGTCTCATCAAAGAGATCAAGCTTGACAATGGGATCTAACAACCAAGATGCATCACAATAGATCAGGAAAGGTCGCAGTGAATCAGGGCTAGCTCCCCGATAATCTAATCTCCAGCTCGGACAATTACTAAATCACAAGGCCCTTCATACAAATTATCGACCTCAATCAATAGGCTTGATATGCCCTTTTTATAGAATAACAAACTGGTTTTCTACTTTCCTTTGCAATGAACTTGCCACAACGTTCGGGTTATTCACACAACAACGCCTGCTTGTGGAAGCCATGGTTTTCAGTTGTCAAAAACAAACTCTTGCAACAAAACTCAAGTTCAGACTAAATTTTACAATGGAATGCAGTCGACTTCATAGGAATTTATTAAGGCCATTTCAATAGGTAAGAAGCAATTAACGCCAATTTCATGTTATGGGAATTTCCAATAAGTACACTTCAATTAGAAGTCATTAGTATGCATTTGTCTTAGAATTTGTTAAGTTCGTTTATAAACATATTGCAATTATAGTGGTGGAATATACAGAAATGTAAGAATATTTGAGTATTTGGAAAAAGTTTGTATTTTTGGAATCAGCATAGATGAATTAACCAAAATCAGTTGATTTTTTCCGGCAGCAAGACAATTTCTTTTGGTGGGCTGTGTTATAGAATAACTTTGTTTTTCCTTGTATGATATACATAAATCGAATCTTATTAAAAAATGTGTCTTATTTGGATCAATCTTTGATGAATTTTCTACCATATATAAAAAATGCACCCAAATTGAGCTTGAAATCAAAAAGTTATGCACCTCAAAATACACCTGAGTGTATTTTTTTTTGTTCCAGCCCTCAAAGCAGTGTCAATGGGCCAGGGACAGGAAATAGTTGCTAGAGATATGATAGAACACTCAATGTCAAAGGGAGGCTGGGTCCTTCTCCAGAACATTCACCTGTCCCTCCCGTTCGCCACAGAGCTGATGGTGATGATTGTCGACACCGTGAAGATCCACGAAACGTTCAGAATTTGGTTGACGACGGAAGTGCACGAGCAGTTCCCCATCGGACTGCTGCAGATGGCTATCAAATTCACCAACGAACCCCCGCAAGGCATCAGAGCGAGCATGAAGAGAACCTACCAGAACATCACCCAGGATTTCCTGGATTATTCGGCGCAGTCTCAGTGGCCCCCGCTTCTCTATGCTGTCGCATTCTTGCATACCGTCGTTCAGGAAAGACGAAAGTTTGGTCCTTTGGGTGAGAGAAGAAAATTACTTTCACTGAAGTGTTGTACAAAGATCAAAAATTGCAAAAAATTGCTAATTATGTTGTTCTGCGAGACTTTCCATTCACTTGTGATACGTAAACACAAACAAATAAGTAGCAAAGACTGTGCAATACGCCTATTTTTACAATCTTCTGTAATTTATTAATGAGTATTGAGTAGTATTGAGTATTGACTTCTATGGTTCTTCTGCTGATTCAAATTCCTCTTTCATCAACTAGTAGAGAAAACCATGGGCGTCACTAGGATGAAAGTCAGACGGGGGGGACAAGTACTCAAAATTGAAATTTTTCAAGAAACAAATCCATGGTTGGGGGCAGTGAGTTTCGTGTTTTTAAACAGAAGTCTGTGATTCCTTTACTGAGTCTACAGTCTCTTTCATACCCCTTACCCCTTCAGCCTTGTTCCCATGGATCTTTGGTGGTTCCGACGGAGGATCATGACAGATCTACTACGCAAATCACTCTGTACAACTTATACATTCACAAAGTTCCACTTCTTATGCGTGAGTATAGATGTTCCACGTCACGTCTAGAGTACATACATTCATATTCATCCAGAAATCACTCACTCAAAAATCCTACCAAACTATAGACTCATAAGGAAACAACAATAATCCCTCATTATTGCTGTATCCCATCTGCCTTGGTAACGTTGCTCCATTGTCAGTATGTCTTGGTGGAATGTTTCCCCTTGTTCGTCACTGACAGCACCCAAATTTTCTGGGAAAAAATTCAAATGGGAGTGCAAGAAATAGATTTTGGGAGACATGCGACATTCCATTCTGCAGTAGTTTTCAAGTTGTTCTTCTACAAGTGTTTCGTAATTTTTTACTTTCTTGTTCCCTAAAAACTTCGAAACAATTCTTTTCAAAGAACTCCACGCAACTAATTCAACACTACTTGATGTTTGATCAAACTGTTGATAACTTACTAGTTTTCTAATTTGTGGTCTAACAAATATTCCTTCTTTGAGCTTTGCATCACTTAATTTTGCAAAAACGTGTTTGAGATATATAAACGCATCACTTTCTTTGTCTAATGTTCAATGCGTAATGGATGTAACAAAACGTTTTTGGGATTAACAAGAGGTATATTCTTCACGTTAGCTTGACCTGGAATATATTTATCTCTCGGAGGCCATTCTTTTACTTGATAATAGAGGGTTTTTTGTTACCATTATGGAGGAGAACGATTTTTAAACTTGTTTTAGTAAATAAACGTCATTCGTTCGGGTTATGTGCAAATCCTAATCTTTCCATCACACCATTTGGATTTACACAAACACACATTTTATCCTGCATAGTAAAAACAAGGATAGCTTATGGTTATGGTTCCTAAATTTTGTAGCTCCCAATTTAGGGATGAAGCAAATTTGGAATGTCGTTTTCATTAAATTTTTGTGAAAAAAATCATGACTAAAAAATCTTACGTGTTAGGAAATCGTTACTATCATTTTCGCATTTAGGGGCCAAAATTAACAAAGAACTGCCTTTGGCATTACAGTCGTAAATTGGCTGTAAAGTAGTGTTATCAATGACAAAATTCAAGATTGAATTGAAAAATTATTATATTACAATGTTCAATATAGTTCACACGAGGTTTTTCGATAGTATGACATCATATATAGCTTGCCACTTTTCCCAAATTTCGGACAGTAGAACCAGATTTCATGTCGAGAATAAAATATGCATATATTCAGTATCACAGAAATGAATATAGATAGAATTACTATTACAGGTTGGAATGTTCCTTACGAATTCAATCAAGCCGACCTTGCAGCTAGCGTTCAATTTATTCAGAACCATCTGGACGACATGGACCCCAAAAAAGGAGTATCGTGGCCCACTGTTTGCTACATGTTGGGAGAAGTTCAATATGGTGGGAGGGTGACTGATGATTTTGACAAACGATTATTGACCACGTTCACTCAGGTACTTCATTGACTTAAAAAAAAGTTTATAGTTTATTAGAGTTTATCACACAACTGAGGTACAGGTACACTCGTCGAGGTACCTTCAAGGGTAATGAAATGCTTACTGTATACTGTATATGCTATATACAGAGGTTCCAACGAAAACTTAGCCCCCCACAATTTTTTTCAAAGGCATAGGGGGTTGAGTGATACATCGTTTGGAAGGTATTTTATCCCTCTATTACTGCTGTATTTTTTTTTCAATTTGGTTCATCCGCTACTGAGAAATTAAATGTTGAACATATTTATTCAAGAAAAAACAAAAAATTCGCTGTCGCTCATTTTATTGAGGCAATCAACAAAAGTAATATCAATGGCAACACAATCAACGGATGAAGTGTTCAAAATGACCTGATGATGTTATATTTCAGATTTAGTTTTCTTCAATTGTTCAAATTGAGAGCTTCAATAAATCTATCAAATATAATCTAATATATTCATGACAAAGTCAAATTTGTACATTCATAATAATGCCTTCAAGTTCAAGCTGAAACTTTTCTTTTCCATAAAGTTAGAGTGCCGAAACATTAAAAACCATAGTGACTTTGGAGTGAACTTTCAGAAAACTTTCAAAAAAGAACCATGCTCTTCCTAACTTTGGTTCAATATTGACAATCTCATACAAATCTCCTTATGAATATTTTAATATCACAAATATTGGCAAAATCACCCAGTGAATGATGATCTTTCAATTATTTTTGAAGGTATGGTTTTGTGACGTCCTTTTGAGGCCAGGTTTTGAGTTTTACAAGGCGTACAAAGTTCCGCAAACTCGAAATTTACAAGGATATCTTGATTACATCAGTAGTTTGCCTGCAACCGACACCCCAGAAGTTTTTGGACTGCACGCCAATGCTGATATCACTTACCAAATCAATACAGCTAAGGGTAAGTCATTCTTCATCTCATGCATACTCGGTGGTTTTTACCAATGAATTCCATATGAATTTAGAAAAAAAATGTTGTGTTATTAGTTTGATTTTCATTCAAACAGCAAGGAATATGAAATTTTTTTGAGTATTCAAAATTGGATCAGAACATCAAAGTACTACTAATATTTCTCCATATTATTGTATTCATGATGATATTCAATTAAAAGGTTTTATTTCACCTGACTTGTATGTATGTTAACAAATCTTGGAAGTTCAATTTGACCCACTTCCCGGTATCCAATTGACCTGAAATTTTGCATGCTGGTCCAGAACCGACGACAATGCATGTAAATCATAAACGTGACCTAATGCTGCTGCCAGGATCGGCTCCGTACAAGAGATCTCCTCAGCAGTAAATAGCAGGGACACGAAATTTTGTATACGCATTCGTTTATGATAGGCAGTTGGTAGGTCCACCATGAAATATATGTCACATCCAGGGTTGGCTTCAATAAAAAAATATATTTCTAGAAAAAAATTAAATCAAGCAAGTAGGTGCCTACCTAATTACAAAATTTCAATTACAAATTGAAATTATCGCGACAAGCTTTTATTGTAATTTCAATTCTGTAAAGTCATAAATGAATGTGGTTATTGTGATTTAAAATTTTATTTTGATCTTTTCAGAGCACTTTGATGTACGCTTGTTTTAAAAGTTTTGTATCATTATTTTATGATATTATAAACACAAGAGTTCGACAAACTTCAGTGTGGTTTTTGAAGTTCTAGCAATTTTCCAATACTGAATGAGAGTGTTCAAAATAATAATTTGATTTGATAGAAAAGTTCTTTTCAAAACTCATACGACGGTGGTATGAAAAGTTTCCGATCTAACAAAGATACAGCCGAAAAAACAGTTTATACTTTTTTGGAGCCGGTTCCTCCTTTGCAGCCATATGTTTGGACTGTATTTTTGTTTCGGGCTTATGATGGGGTATCCAAGATTCATCTACAGTGATTAATCGGCTTCAATACTCAGATGCATTGCGCCCAAACTGCGCAAAGAGAGCGTTAAAAAGGTTCATCAGAACACTTTTTTGATTTAACGTACGCTAACGTGGTACCCAACACGTGGAGTTCATAACCTCTGCTATATTTTTCACTCCAATTTGACGCTCGTCTAGTACCATTTGGTGAACTTTGGCGATGTTTTTGTCGGTAGTTGCAGTTTTTGAACGTCCTGAACATTAATCGTCTTCTAAGCTCTTACGGCCACGTTCAAATGCAGCTGCCCAAAATTTCACTGTGGTAAATGACAGTAGTCCCTATACACAAAATCCAACTCATATTTGATTTGCGTAGGATTCTTGCCTTTCGAAAACAAATATTAATGACAGCTCGATATTCAATTTTGTCTATTTTCATAAAAACACTCAAATTAACGCACCTGAACGACTATTACATAGTACTGCGCGTCCAAAATGGCTAAAACTTTGCTGAGTAACTGTCTGTTTTCGAGGAGTTGTCCTCCTAGGTCATCGTCCATCCTGTCCTTTCCAGGAAGATGGACAGGTCAGTAGGAGACACATACTTTATATTGGCAGGTGCAGGCCAAGACTCGCCGAACACACACTCTCTTTGGCAACCTTGAGGTGTCTCACGGTGGCCTCCGCGAAGGTTTTGGAAGGTGCCGCGATATCACTGTCGCTGCGCGGCTTCTTCAACCTTCTTGGGGTTCCCTCCGTGAAGGTGCACAAGTGAGGGAGGGAGCTTTCCTGCAGGGGCAGCCGATTCCTTGCCTTTATTCAATGCGGAGCTCTTGGTGCCCGGCGCAGGAAGTGCCCTTGCTGTTGGAGGTGATCTGCTATATCCAGCCTCATTCCAAGCGATAGATTGCGGTGGACATTCCTGTTCATCCCCTGCCACCGCCTTAGATTGAGGTGAGCACTTCTGTCCAGCCTCGAGATTGGTTTTTGTTGTTTGTTTTTGTGTTGTTTCATTCTTGTGTGTCCCCACAAGTAGAAAGGAAAGAGTTGGCCACTTTTGGCAGCGCTCCGCATTACCAGAGGTAGGCTGATTACAATGAGGTTCCGCCCAGTTCCCCAAGGGGATCGTTCGTAACCGCATATCACCCTACGGCTATTCAGGGCTTTGGTAGGCTGGTTCTCAGTGACATGGTTTGCAAAGGCTTTTGGGGGGTTTTAGTTCCCCTCACCCTACTGATTTCTGCCACTGACCAGGAGTCTGGCGACCCCGTCCATAAGACCACATTGGCTTCCCGGACAGGGCCTCCAGTCCCCTGGCCGTTTTGCTATCCGCCACCTGGGAACGCGCTCGATAGGTAGCCCAACCCACGGGGACGAACAACGATATTCCCTAGCTCTCATTTACAATTGCTGTCATCTACATGTTGAGGTCGGAAACTTTTCATACAACCCTCGTGCACTATTATGACATCGTTATTTTTCATCAGGTATTCTTGACACAATCCTCAGTGTTCAGCCGAAGGAAGGGGGAGGAGGAGGAGGAGAAACAAGAGAAACTGTGGTGTACTGTCTAGCAGAAGATATGCTTGAGAAACTACCACAGCAGTACAACAGTTTCGAAGTCAAAGAAGCTCTTCAACGCATGGGGGCTCTATTACCTATGAACATTTTTTTGAGACAAGAAGTTGATCGGATTCAGAAAGTGCTTAAAGAGGTATAGTACTGTGATGAGGAGCATGTTGATTATATCCTTTCGTTTTTTCACATATTGTACAAGAACACATACACACACACACACACACATAGGATGTTTGTCGATGAAGATGTTTCATCTTTGAATTACTTATTCTAGGTGAAAACTACTTTGACCGACCTGAAGTTAGCTATTGATGGAACTATTGTGATGAGCCAAACTTTGAGAACTGCTCTTGATTCTATGTACGATGCCAGAATACCAGACAGGTGGCAAAAGGTATATTTCCCTCATAATTCTCATCGGACATATCTCCATGCCTAGGAATATTGTTTTTTTAAGATATCTTGGGAATCAGCAACGTTGGGATTTTGGTATACGGAACTTTTGGAAAGGGATGCACAATTTCGAACGTGGTGCCAGAATGGAAAACCAAATGTTTTCTGGATGACTGGATTTTTCAACCCACAAGGGTTTTTAACGGCAATGAGACAGGTGAGCTGAAGTAAATTTGTATGAATCATGTATAACCTTCTGAGGTGTCGCTAGGAAAATATTGAACCACGGACAATCTAGACTTGATAACTAGTTGATACCCATATCTTCTGGCTCTATATAATTCAATGTTCATAGCGAAGTAGTTGTTTGGAAAGTATTTTTTTCTTTTGTTATATTCAATGTTCATATGGAAGTGATTTGTTTTGAGACGGTTTCTCTTTAGTTTGTGTTTGAAAGTAAGTTTTCTCGAATTTACATTTGACTAGTAGTGTGTTTATTGAGATTCAGAAATTCCATTATAAAGTTTGAGTTCATGAGTGAAATTGAGAGTTTTTGTCAGTGTTGTTCTTATATGGTTCAAATATGTCACTACTATATGTCATTTGCAAATTTGAATGGACACTTGAATATTTGCAGCCACGAATGAAAGAAAAAATTTGATATAGGTATAGAGGATATTCACATGAAGAATTTGGTTTAGGAAATAGAGATTGCAATGGGCAATGAATATGACTTTCCCTGATCTACCACAATCAGTTATACTTTCAGTAATTTTCTATATACAACAATAGACCGATGTATCGTCCTTATAGAGATTGACAAAACCGTGAATTGGTTATAATAATGATGAATTGGCATCTGATTCAATAACGGTCTTTTAGTAACTCCACTCCATTGCATCACAAATATAATGACTACAAATCCTCCTCCTCCTAAGTTAGGTTAGGTTAGGTCTGAATTGAGTGGGTCTATTCCATTCTTCACCGCAATCCGCAAGGGTTTATTATGGCTCACACCTATTCACACTCGACCAAATAAACTCAGCTTCTTAACGAAGCTGATTAGTTTGTGTNGTAGACAGCTGTTTCAGCCTATTGGGAATCGTCAGTACCGGGTAGGCGGTCCTCGATTGAAGACAAAATGTGACCAAGCTCATCCTTAGTTCAATCAGGTTGGAGCCTGTTGAATGGAAGTAGAAACTCAGTGTAACTTTAGGCTCACTCTCGATAACGCAGACATTGACTGGGTAGACGGTGCTGAAAATCTTGGCGCTATACAAATTCAAGTATCAGTTATCAAAAGAAATGAAATTCAGGTTAGTTAAAACTCTTATACACCCCCATATCGAGTAATGTTGTTCAGAGTATTACAATTTTTTGCCGTAATATAACAAGCAGAAGTTACAACGTATACAAAATGCTTGCATGCGATTCGTATGCTGTTTATTTTTGTTGAAAATGAAGGAGCTGAATGTGAGGTATAGAGTCCAGTATTTGATAAAACATTTTTGTTTAAATTGCTTCAAACTGAAACACCTAGTTATTTAAATAGATTATTGAGCAGACATTCTGACAAACATATGGTCAATTTGAGAATAGACTCATTCACCATACCTAGGCACCGTACTTCCAAATTTCAAGAATGTTTTTCTTATATAGTCCCTTCTTGTCTGAATGAAATTTTACCCCTTTAAACCATAATATTCATCAATTTAATAAAGAAATAAAATTACAAATGCTTACTGCTCGGTGCTAATTTAAAAATTTCAGAATTCAATGTATGGCAGTGCAAAGAAATTGTTAAATTGACCAAAATAATGTTGAGAACATTAAGAGTTATTAGCAACTATATGATCTATTATTGTTTTCACTTCTCTATCATTGTTATGATTGTAAATAAGTATTTCTATAATCATTTTCTTACACTCACTGTATAATTTTTGGGAGGAGTGGAAGATGGCTTTTGGCTAACCCTTTTCCTTTTATGTATAAATGTATTTTCATGCATAATAAACAATAATATTATCAAATGAACAATTGTGATGTAGTCAGCAAATTTAGTTCATGTATTGAACTATTGAGAAAAATAGTAGGCTACAAAATAGATCCCTGAGGCACTCCACAAGGAATATTCCTCAGTGTAGTGTCATATTCTTCCATACATATGAATTGTTTCCATCCTGTTGAATAATTCTCAAACCAATCGCAAGCACTACATCTGATACCAATTTGATTCAGTTTCTCAAGTGATGCATCATGAGCATCCATATCAAATACTTCTCACAAAACCAACAACCAGTCTACACTTACGAGTATGATCTGAATCTATTTCCAATCGAATTTAACTTCCTACTGGATTTCGAATTTTCAATGATGTTCTATTGATATTTCCAGGATGTCACCCGAGCCCACAAAGGCTGGGCTTTGGATTCCGTCGTTTTGCAGAACCTCATCACCAGGTACAACAAGGAAGATCTGAAGGAAGGCCCAGCAGAAGGAGTCTACGTTCACGGCCTCTTTTTAGAAGGCGCTGGCTTGGACAGACGATCGGGAAAGTTGGTCGAGAGTAAACCCAAGGTCCTATACGAACAAATGCCTGTAATCTACATCTACGCGATCAACACGACTGCTGGAAAGGACCCTAAACTATACGAGTGTCCGATATATCGGAAGCCACAAAGGACTGACCAGAAGTACGTCGGGTCGATTGATTTCGAAACGGATCACAACCCCAGGCATTGGACTCTCCGAGGTGTTGCGCTGCTTTGCGATATAAAATAAATATGAATAGTATAGATAATCTATTAATTTGTTATTGTTGAAATCAATAAATCATTCAAGCTTAGAATTGATTGATTTAAGTAACTCAAGGCAGGTTCGTACAAATTGATCATATTTCGAAACCAGAGCTCAATAACAAAGCATTCGTGATCCAGACCCGTTATATGTCATATCCTAGCCTACCCAGATAGTGACTGAATATAGATGTTTACTGTAATATTTTTTTAATCTTGCAACATGACAACGGTGCTTTCACTGATTCCAAAAATCAGACTTGAAACGAGTAGTATTTGTTTTATTGATGCTGATTTCAAAGAAATTTCGAAAAAATAAATGTCAACTCGAATGCTAGTAGGTTATGTTAGGTTAGGTCCAAAGTGAGTGGGTCTATTCGGACCACCACCGCAACACGCAAGGGTTTATTGTGGCTCACACCTATTCACACTCGACCAAATAAACCCAGCTTCTTAACGAGCCGATTAGTTTATATGGTGAGTGGTATTTCAGGTCAAATGGTAAGAGTATGGCTCTGCCGAACTCTAAAAACCTAAGTTGGTCCCCAGCGGGGCAGGCACAAAGTATATGCTCAGCTGTTTCATCAATGAAGTAGTCGGATAGTCAAGGTGCAAGATCCTCACCTTGATACCCGCGACAACCTTCCCATTTGAGGGTTTTTGCACATCAGCTACACCTGATGATGCCTTAGATTCAACCGTGCAGGAATTTTTCGCCTCTGGTTTTGGTGAATCATCACTTGACCACAAACGTTTGCTGACCTGTTCATGGGGGGTTTGTTCCTCCACCTGAGACAGATTCTGCGAACGCAGATCAAAAATTGGGTGCAAGGCAGTTTCATAAGGTACCTCGCTCTTGAGGAGATGACAGTCGTTTCCTGGCTGCACCACCAAACTTTTTTTTGGTTCAGTTATTGGATCAGGACTGATCAAAATTCATAGGGAAGTCAGTTGGGAGTCGTAAGCTCGACATCCATCTCCTCTGTAAACTCAGCATCAGAAAGAATTTTTTAATTCACTCTGTCCATAAAAGTCCCACGAATAGCTAGGGAAAGAAAGTCAATCACGACAGAGCTCCGCATTACCGTGACAAGGCGATGCTACGACGAGAGGGCACCCGGTATCTCGAAGGTTTCGTAGAGACAGCTGATAGGCTCAGTGTTATTCATCCTCTCGGCACGGATACACACATCTTAGGATTAAGCTATCTGTTGGGATGCCATCCAGTTAGGGAACAACAGAACCACAATCGATTCTGTCATTCCCGTATGGCCGGTTTGCTCAACCCCCACATCCTAAGCCAATGCACTCGCCAAAAACAGCATGCACAGTGACTCAGGCAGTGAAAGATGAACAAGGACAATCAACCCGCCCAGTGTGAATATAACGAAGATATTGATCGAATTTACTTTTATTGAGGTCTCCTGACGCCCTGAAATATGTTTTCTTTAAAAAATGTTTCAATATCATTTCCGCGCTGAACTGTACAGATACTTATCATGACGTTTCTGCCTTCGTCTTCAGAGCTGTTAAAACCCAAATGTGAATCGCAATTTTGTCCTTCGACTCGCTTCATTTTCAAACTCTTTCGACAGATGTGAAAGTAGTTTTGAGAGTCTCCAGCAGAATCTATAAGAAACTCTGATTTCCATTACGAAAAATGAAAATTTTATAGATATCGAAGAAGATACTGAATATTCTTCCTTCTTTCGTTTGGAAGTGGTATTACGCGTTGAATTTCAGTAGTTCGGACTTTCATTGTCTATTATGATTCGAAATCTGGTCTGGCCCCTCTGGACCCATTGAGGAGGTTGCGTTAATGGCTATGTTACGGTTGCGCACGGCTGGTGTAAACCTTGAAGTAGGAATGGGTCAATTGAGGCTAAGCCTACGGCAAATATTTTGTGTCAGAGCAGACAAAATCTATATTTTGACCACCTAAAACCTCTCTTACCTCTGAGCCGCAAATACTGAAACCACTTTCGCCTTACTTGGTCTCGTTCTTGGTTTTTTATATATCCCTCTATGTGACTTCTCTCACTTCATGTCTTCGTCACTAGGTTGCCTTTTTGCCTAATTTTCAATATTTCATTCATTTATCCCAAAACCTTACATAATGTTATATACGAAAGAGCGTTGATGCGTCAATGTCTATTCAATCCCTTTCAAAATAGTCCCCCTCTGATATAATACACATGTGCTAGCGTTTTTTCAATTCTCGAAGCAGTTCTGGTATCCACTTTTTGGTATGTCATTGAGCTGTCCCAGCGATTCAATTTTTATCTTCTCAAACGTCGCATAACACCGTCCTTTTATATGTCTTTCCAATTCTGGAACAGACAAAAGTCGCAGTGAGTCAAATCTAGTGAATACGGTGGCTGAGGCATGATTACGGTGTTGTTTCTATATTAGAAATATTTTTAGTACCAATGAATTAACAAATAAATACTGGATAGAATTACTATTACAGGTTGGAATGTTCCTTACGAATTCAATCAAGCCGACCTTGCAGCTAGCGTTCAATTCATTCAGAACCATCTGGACGACATGGACCCCAAGAAAGGAGTATCGTGGCCCACTGTTTGTTACATGTTGGGAGAAGTTCAATATGGTGGGAGGGTGACAGATGATTTTGACAAACGATTATTGACCACGTTCACTCAGGTACTTCATTGACTTAAAAAAAGTTTATAGTTTATCACACAACTGAAACATATTTTCATAATGCAAGAAGGTATTTCGAAAACAATGTTCAAAATGAATCACACAGACACTCGTCGAGGTACCTTCAAGGGTAATGAAATGCTTACTGTATACTGTATATTAGTAGGGAGGGTGAGTGTAGACCTACAGCACTTAGGCCACATGTGACCCATTGTACATCCTCCCGAGGAGTTGTCCTCCTAGGTCATCGTCCATCTTGTCCCCTCCAGGAAGGTGGACAGGTCTTTATATTGGCAGGTGTATGCCAAGAATCGCCGAACTCACACTCTCTTTGGCAACCTTGAGGTGTCTCATGGTGGCCTCCGTTGAGGTTTTGAAAGTTGCAGTGACATTACTCTCGCTTCTTGGGGGTTCCCTCCATGGAGATGCTTTCCTGTAGGAGCTTTTATGCAGGAGCAGCCTGTTTCTCGTCTTTATCCAAGGCGGAGCTTTTGTCCCCCACTGCAGGAAGTGCCCTGTTGGAGATTGTAATAATATGCTGCTGGTTCATAAATGCTGGTTTTATCCTTTTTTCTGACAGTGTAACAACGTACAAAAATTAGGCACCAGATGCAGATTTCTCCGCATCAAATTTTGAATATCAGGACAGGTCCGAAAAAGCTGTAGGGTTCGTGCCGATCGCACGAAGGCCGGTCTTTTTGAAATTTGATCATTTGGAATACTTACTTATCTTCTCTCTCATCATGTGGTTCCAGAACTGAATTTTAATCTTAGTTGAAATGCTTTTCACCCACTATTTTCTTCTAAATATCTTCCAAATAACTTTGCTTTCTGTATCTATAGAGTAGGGAGGGTGGGTGTAGATCCGCAGCACTTAGGCCACATGTGACCCATTGTACATCCTCCCGAAGAGTTGTCCTTCTAGGTCATCGTCCATCTTGTTCTTTCCAGGAAGGTGGACAGGTCACTAGGAGACATCTTCTTTATATTGGCAGGTATAGGCCAAGACTCGCCGAACACACACTCTCTTTGGCAACCTTGAGGTGTCTCACGGTGGCCTCTGTTAAGGTTTTGGAAGTTGCAGCGACGTTACTCTCGCTTCTTGGGGTTCCCTCCATGGAGGAGCTTCCCTGCAGGAGCAGCCTGTTTCTTGCCTTTATTCAAGGCGGAGCTTTTGGCGCCCACTGCAGGAAGTGCCCTTGCTGTTGGAGATGGAGTAGGGAGAAGGAGGATGCACTTATAGTTGCTGCCACTCCTACCTCTTTCGCCCCATTTCTCTTTTTGGGCTCGGCGTCGCAAATGCCATTACACCTTGGCCTACTATGTCCAGCCTCAATCCAGCTTCGGGATTAATATTTGTTGTTTTTGTTTTTGTGTTTGTTCCATTCGTGTGTGTTCCCACGAGTAGCAAGGGAAGAGTTGGTCACCTCTGGCAGAGCCCCGTATTACCAGAGGTAGGCTGATTACAATCAGGATTCGCTCAGTTCCCCAAGAGGATCGTTCGTTACTGCATATCACCCTGATGCCATTCAGCTATCGGCACGATTCCTCACACCCCAGCTTGGGTAGGCTGGTTCACGGTGGCATGTTTTGCAAACACTTCTGGGGAGTCTCAGTTCCCCTCACCCCACTTATTTCTGCAACGGATCAGGAGTCGGAGACCCCGTCCGTAAGGACACATTGGCTTCCTGGACAGGGCCTCTAGTCCTCTGGCCGTTTCTCTATCCGCCACCTAGGGACGCGGCCGATAGGTAATCCAACCCACAGGAGTCGCTTTGTTATCGGTGATATCGAAAATTATGGAGGAACTAACGGCTTCCTCCATATTCTTGAGCGATCATCAATATGGCTTTCGGAAACAAAGATCAACAGGTGACCTTCTATCGTATATCACCTATATTTGTAATAACGCAATCGAGAAACATAGAGAGTCATGAACTGTTGAGCTTGATATTTCTAACTCTTTGACCGTGATCTGCTTCGTCAGATACCAACTGTGAACAACGTCCATCGTGCTTTGGAGGATATTACAAGCTACCCTTCCCGACGCGAACCTTGCCAAGATAATAATCTGCATATGCTTGCAGATCTACTTTTCTTCTGTCGAGCGCATCAAGCAGACTATTTACCAGGAGCGACCACAGAAGGGAAGATAATACCCCACCTTGAGGGCAGCCTCTGGTAACCCTGAACCTAATGGCCTCACCTTGTAGAGTCGTAGTTGGAGTTCTGTTCACCAGCATGGCATAGATCTACCCAGTATGGTCGATTCTATTATTGTATATTACCCTCTATTCAATTGCAATCAAGTGATGTATTAATCCAAAATGAATATGTCTATAATTCAGTTCTTCACTGAGGTATACGAAAGAAAATTCGACAATCGACTGTACACAAAGTCAGAGATAACGATATCGATCGACATAAAATTATTTTTTTATCACCTTCAAACACTTTATCAATGATTAGATAAATTTGAAGTAGTCATGAATGAGCGACCAATGGGTTAAACAATGTTAGCGTAGCAGAACATGAATCGTTTTTGGGTGGAGACGAATTGGAAAACCATTCTGTTCTCCGCGGTTTTTTTGCTCAGTTGTTGGCAAGCACAGTGCATTCACGTAAGTCGTCAGGATTTTTTTTTCACATTTTATTGATACTTGTTGATGAAGTTGATATTCTAAAGTTGCAGTGTGAAGCTTTGGGTCAATTGTCATCAATTTTGTCCTATATTTCTAACGGGAGGAGAAAGAAAATATCACGGAATTATATTTTGGCTTTACTATCAGGTTTTTAAGTTTTATCATATCGATATAACGAAATTGAATCTGATCATTTCTATTCGGTATGGATTTCTTTGAGGAAGCGGTTCATATTTTTTATTTCCATGTGATGATTTTCATCTTCCGATGTTTGGAGTTGGAATTTTGATTTTATAATTAGATTCATTCTGATTGTAGACTTAAATGTCATTAGTTACATCAAGCCATAGGACTCATTATCGATGCTGAACACAATCTTAAATTAGATTCAAAATATTTTTTATTTTTTAGTTTGTGTTGCTATGAAAGCGTATCTTTTAATTTTTTTAAATATCATTATTTTCATCAGGCTTCTGCATCACAATTCAATTGGCTGAATATGAATGAGTATTTCGGATTTAATGTTTCAGGTACACGAGCAGGAGCAATATCAACAGCTGGGATTTCCAGGAAGGAAGCCTTATTTTCAAAAATCGGTGTACCAAGCTATTAGCATTCGCACGGGGTCAAATGACTTTTTATATTTGAAAAATGGACCAATAATTTTAGAAAACTGTGAGTCAATCGAAACCAAGATTCAGATAGTATTCGGTGAGTATTCAATTTGAAAAATCAAAATGCTCTTCTAAAGAATTGCTAAATACCATACTTTATTTAATAATTTATGTGCAGGTTCCTGAAACTTTACAGTTGTTCAATTTGACAGTCCTCCCAGATTGATTCATATCGTCAGTCTGGTGGGATTGAACAAGAAAATGAATTGAAAATAACGTTTTTGAAGGCGCCACATGGCAAATATCTAGTATGTGCTATTAGTGTTACCTTCTACTTTCAGTATTTTACGTGATAAGTATGGACTTGTATTGCATGATTGTTACTATTATTACAAAGTTATCATCTAGTAGTCCTTCTCAAAATGGTCCAGCAAATCAACGAAAATTTCCGTTCATATACAGTGACACACATAAAGTTCGCGACAAATGGAAGTTTTTTTTTATTAATGGATATAATGGAAATTTGTCTTCGCGATTATATTGTGCTTGGAAAATTAGTAGAAAATAACCTCTTTCATTCTGTCGTGTGCTACTGTAAACTTGTCAAATTTGACATTTATTTCGAAAATCCTCAAAAAATAATTTTTCTGTAGACGTGAATGAAGTCCACTTGCGTTCCGAAGGATTATATTATTTCTAATCGTAGATACTAGATGGTTCTGTATGCATGAAAAAAAAAGGATAGGATTGTTGATTATCATTTTCGATCCATAAAACTTTTTTGTGGACTGCAGTGAGCCCCTGTCGATCCTGGGCCCCTAGGCAGTTGCCTAGGTCTGCCTTAAGGTTAATCCAGCTCTGGACATGAGGGCCTCATCTGACAAAGTGTCGGGACCTTCTTTATCGGGAGGGGTCGTCTACAGCTTCCCTAACTAACGAGGTCCTTTCTTATGTTCGAATTCAATACAAATAAGAATCAAAATGCCCAAAATGTTCTTAAAATGAATGTTTTGAAAATTGTGTCTCATTGGCCTGTTATTCTACACGTTTGTCGAAGAAAAGTCTACGCAACATGTCGAAAAACAGTTTTTTTGAACTGTCAGACAGGATTATGTCTACTCGTCCAGAAAGCCAGTACTTTCCGGCCTTGACACGTAAATCAGTTTCCAATCAGGTCAATTTTCAAGAATCAGTCACAATCTCAAATGATCAAAACGTCTGTGGAGTTATAAATTTGCTGAACTTCGATTTGCCTCCAAGATAGTGAGTTATGAATCTAGTTAACTGTGATTGGTTTGAAGAGATCAGTTTGCCTACTTACTCAATGGAAAACTTCCACATAATTAATGCTTTCAATAGTCATAGAAGAAACAAACTTTCTGCAATGTGAGAGTTAGCTGACAGCTGTTCTTTAAAATATTATGTGGAAAATATGAAAATGAGGTGATATTGAATTCGACTTTCATAGATTTTCTAATACGACCAGTAAAATCACTAAATAATCAATGATAATGATCATAATCGTGATATTGATGCACATCTCCAACGGTAGCAGGAGGTTGTATTTCTTGATGAGGATCTAGAAGTGATTTCGAATCGGGGTGAAAGGAACTAAGTTCAATTCAATGCCACAAAAACCCAGGCATCGGTTTCCTTCAAGAAGATAAATGTTTTCGAACCAGATATGATAATGTCAGGACAGGCAATTACGCTTTCGCACACGAATCGCTCTTAGAGCTTACCAAGGATTTTCCCGTAGTGCTTGTGTTCTTCCTTCGAAAAAATTATCAAGTTTTTTCTCTCTGGTGAACGAGTTTCGTAAAATTTCACATTTTCCCTTTCCTTTTACTATACTAGGCATTTGATCTAATTTTCCAAATTGCCAAAATGATCTTACTATTCTTCTTGATTAACAATCATTCCATTTCCAGATAAGAATAAGTATGAACCAGTGATAAACACGTTGGACAACTGTGGAATATTTTTTTTCCTGTATGTGAAAAATCACACGTTTTTGGATAGACATCCGTTGGATTATATACATCTTAGAGCTGTCCACGAAGAATACATCTTTGATATGGCATCAATAGTGGTGATGACCAAGGAAAGTCAGGACTCCAACAATCACATTTTTGACGTCGATGGAACAGATTACATTATACTGAATTATTTCCAATTCAAAATATTTCTCTATACCATTCTTTCAATCAGTATTTTAATATTATACGCCGAAATAAAGGATTTATTGATGCGATATCGAAATAGGGATATGTACCGGCAATTGAGTGATACAATAAATTATATTTAATGTTTTTTTGAAAGACTCGTTTTCTTTGATTTCTATTAATACCAAGTTGTAAAATTTTTTCAAGGAAATATATACAGAGCTATTCAAATTCGTTTCTGTACATGGGGATCTCGTGAACGATAAGTGTCGCTTAAACTGAGGCAAAGGTGTGTATTTCAGAGACCTATTCAATGATGTAAAAAAATTGAATAAAGTTCTTTTGGTTCTGGAGATGTACAGGAAAAACCANGGCGTCAGTCCATTCAACCTACTGTGTGGGTATATTCGAGACTGGCTTGAACGTTTAAAGTTCATTTCTTTAGATTTGTTTACTGCCAGTCTTCGAGCATAGCCCGTTGGCTAATAGGAAAGTATTTCTTCCTTATCCAGAGGAATCGGGCAAATTTCGGATATATTCTTCGTGGAGTTTTCAGCTCCGGATAAGAAGAATATCGCCCGAGAAGAGAAAAAACCGATGACATATCGAGATTTTCACTCCGAATTCCGCTGCTTTCTTAAAAAAAATAAATTTATTCTTTTATATGGATAAATGGAATTAAATCAACATCAATTATTCCAATCTCTATTCGATTAAGAACCCAAATTTAACGTCTAAAGCCCTACTGCACTACAAAAAATTCAACAAAAACCGTTTTAAATTAAAAGAAAGTTATTCAATTATAAATGCTTTCCTAAATCTCATTCATGTTTATGAATATATACCATTAATTTCCGAGGGGTTTTATTTAACCCTCAAAGAAACCAAGAATATTATCCGGAAAACGTTGTATAATTGGAAAAGTTCCTCATTCTTGCTTTTTTTATAACTATTCAAGTAAATACAACAAATTAGGTATCATTGGAAAGAGAATTTTGTGCTTTTTCAAATGATATATCACTCGACCCCGCTTTCCATTTAAAATTTTAGGGTTGTTACTCACCCTCGCTAGGGGATTGAAGGCACAGGTAGAAACATACATCTAAAATGTGTCCCCCTTCAAAAGCAAAATTGACCTGTACGAGCATTTTTGCGTTAAGTTACAAAAAAAGGAGAAAAGCAAGGTGCATACTTTTCGTTGGACAACACGATATGTGTTTCAATAAGCAGGAAAAGAAATGATAGCAATAGTAACACATGTTACTATTGCTATCATTTTGTGTAAAGAAAATTGAAATGAAGTAATTTAAAAACGCAAAAAAACTAATGGCGTAATAAATGTTCTAATTATAGTCCTTTCATTTCGAGACATTTTTGAACTCGGTTTTTAATATCATTTATTGCCCTCAATACACTCATTTGCTGCATTGTTGCGAAATCATTCAAAATCTTCAATCTCGAGTCTATCTCTCTACCAGCGTGAATCCTATTTTTCAATATCCCCCATAGAAAATAGTCCAAAATAGTAAGATCTGGTGATCTTGCAGGCCATCTCATTGGCCCATTATTTGTCTCGAAATGGAAGGACTCCAATTCGAACATTTATTGTGCCAATAATTTTTTTGTGTATATAAATTACTTCATTTCAATTTTCATTACAATTANATATATAAATAAGCTATTGATAATCATAATAACAATATATTTGGACAGTGGTTCAACCTTCGATTAGTTTATGAATATCCGTTCTTGCATTTTCCTTTACAAATGATACTAATTGTTTTTTGAAGCGTTTCATAGAAGTTTCATATGTAATTTCTTTTGGTAAATAATTTAATAGTTTGGGAGCTAGATAACGATAGCTTCTCTGTCCTATAGATTTGGAAACCAGTGGTATACAATGGTGGTGCCTTTTTCTCGTTGCATATGGATGGTTTGAAGTGTCATGTTCAGCTTTGTTCTTGTATAGCTGACATCCTATCTGAACGATGAATAATTGTCTTATATCTAAAATTTGTGTTTCTTTATACAGCAAATTACTTGCATATCTTGCAGGTTTTTCGAGTAATATTCGAAGAAATCGTCTCTGAGAGACTTCAAGAGCATGTAGGTGAGTTTTTGATACTCCTCCCCAACCAATGATGCCATAATTTAAGTGTGATTCGACTAAACTGTGGTATAAAATTTTTTTGTATTTATCATTTAAGAATCTTCCGACTTGTTTCAGTCTATATGAAATACAACGTAGTTTTTTTGTTAAATACTGCATGTGGTGGTCCCATCTAAGATGGATGTATCTGTTGTATTTGTATACATAATTGTTCCTCTGAGTTCGTTGATTATTGACCAGCTTTCCTTAGCTTTGTTGTCAGCTTCCGTGATTGTGTTACTATAGTACAAATTGTTTGCAGCCCTGATTACCTTTCTATAGACTTTCCTATAATTATTGAAGTAACAGTCAAAAAATATAAACTATTAGTAAACTTTCTGATTTAATGAAGAGATCTTATATTTTTAGAAGAAGTTCGTATTCCCTTAGTGATCCAATGTTTTCGTTTCTTTTTGTTAATTTTTGTTTGGGAAACGCGGTCTCAAAATATTCAATAAGTATTCTATAGAATACCTAGAACGGTGTCTTTACTAACTATTAACTAGCATTTCCTAATATAACTGTTAACCAGTACGTGCGAAACTTATTGTTGAATCATTTGAAAATGGAACTTTTAACGGGTGATGATCACCTGTATTGCCAAACATACGCCAAACTGACTGACTATTAGAAGAAAATAAGTGTAGCTGAGGCACGGTCAACCTAATAATAACACTGATGATCTTCAAACATGACTCAACCTCTGACGGAAGCACCAAACTCTTACGAAGGTTCGAAGTAGATGAACATTTCAATCTAACAGACCACTACTAAAATCTTCATGCAGTCATTGTTCACTGTGGTTCTGGCGTTGAATCTGACAATTATTACGCATTGGTCAAAGACGAAACAGGTTGGTTTAAATTTGACGATAGTCGTGTCACTAAGTGTTCTGGCGATATATCTTGAATTCATTGGAAACTCTGGAGATAACCTACATTTTGTTTTACGAAGGAGAAGACATTGGCAGATCAAGATCTTCAGATGATGTGGTGCTGCAGGTTTTTCCGGGTTTTCCTGAAGCTGAAAAATCACATACGCCACTGGAGTCAATCAAGTCGCCCCGGAGCGCCAACTAATTTTTGTTGTTTCATAATTTCATGATTTGTATTACTTTCTTCTTTTACATAATTTATATAGATAGATAGTTGGGATTCAGGAAAGGAAGAAGCACGTTGAAAGCAGTGCTCGAATTAGTCGACTTCATAACTGAAGGTTTTGAAAACAAAGAATCGACACTTGGCATATTCCTCGATCTGAGCAAGGCGGTCGACTGCGTCTCTACTGACATTTTATTAGAAAAACTGAGATACTATGGATTTGTAGGCATAGCACACAATCTGCTAGCATCATATCTAAATGAGAGAAGGCGATGTGTATCATATAATGAAGAACTCAGTAGCTTACAAACGATATTGAATGGTGTTCCACAAGGCAGTGTGCTTGGGCCACTACTTTTCTTGATTTATATTAATGACCTGCTAAATTCAATGACAATGTTTACAATGCTATTCGCCGATGACACTTCCTTCGCCATTCGGAAAAAAAATATTGAAGAGTCATCAGAATTAGAAAAGCGAGTTATTTAAGAAGCTACGGACTGGTTTAATGCAAATAGCCTATGTGTGAATGAAAGCAAGACACAAACAGTTATGTTCTCGCTGTCCAATAACCTCTCAAATAATGTGAAATGTCTTATAGTATAACCATTGATTCAAAGTCAACTTGGAAACCCCATATTGACAAACTAGCAAAAAATCTATCATGCAAGGTCTATGTAATCAGGCAGATAAAAAAATAAAGTCGGTAATGAAGCTGCCCATACCGCTTATCATGCAATGTTTCATAGTTCCTTAATTTATGGATTGATAAACTGGGGCACATCTGTTCATATCTCGAGGATATTTGAAATTCAAAAAAGAGCAATTAGAGCTTTAGCTGGAATAGGTCAAATGGAGAGCTGTAAGAATTGGTTTATTAACTTCAATATATTGACTCTGCCATCATGTGTAATATACTGCAATTTGATACACATTCAAGAAAATATACAAAAGTTTACTACAAACGGTAACAACCATTCTTATAATACTAGGAACAAGGATAATATTAGAGCACCAAACCAAAGACTAGAAACAACAAGAAGATGTAACTCATACATATCATTGTACAACTCACTGCCCCAATCAATGAAAAATGCAACCCTCGCTAATTTCAAACGGAAACTGAAAAAACATCTCCCAGAGAATGCTTACTATGATGCGTCTGACTTCAGCTTTACAGAGTGACTATCGTCAATGTAGGTACTGTCTCTATGTATCTTTATTTTTACATTTAAATATTTATTTACTTTATTTTGTGCTTGTATCATATACAATTTTTATGTACTACCTACTCCTTTTCGGTAATTTTAATTGTAATTTACATTTATTTTATACATTATTGACTTGTCATAGCACTAAGGTGTAATAACTTGACCTATAAAAATCTAATCTATTCTAATCTGATATAATCCTTGGTAATTTTGTATACTGAGTGTATTTCAGCTATTAGAATCAAATGTCTTCATCAATATTATCATCAAAATTGAGAAAGAAGCTTATGCTTAGTAAGGGTTAAAGATACTATGGAACAGTGACTATTGTGTAAACATTCGTAAAGTAACAGTTGGGCTGAAAAGTTCTTAGGATAAAATAAAAACAATATATGAAAATTGATTTCAATTAAGTTACCTTCGATGGCGAAAAAACGATTACCCATAGTGGTCATATAGTCTTTTGATACCATTTCTATAGTACGATTTTTCTTCAGCCTCAAAACAGGCGTCAGTTTTCAGCGCTGAATTTCCTTCCAAGCATTTTCTTGTGGTTTGAGATCAGGAAAAAGTCGCTGAAGACTACATCTGAAGAATACGACGAGTGTGAAACCAATTCGAAGCCCAATTCATGCAATTTTGCCACCGTTTCCATAGATTTGTCAAACGGTGCATTGTCTTGCTGAAGCAGTGAAG